GCACGAGCTCAAGACTGGATCCCAGGACAGGACTAAACAGGTTCCCAGATCACAAAATTCAAAGGTTAAGTGTGTCGGTGATAACCTGAATAAAGTCCATTCCTGAAGTATCTGTCTGGTGGAAAACTGTTATCTCTGCTCTGAAATTGCTGTTTCTTTACATGTTCTCTATAAAGTAGATCTTGGCCATCACGAATTGACCTCATGGTTTCAGTAATGAAGTTCATGAATTCATGATGGCTGGTATGCAGGACGCAGCCATACAGGGGAGGGGGAGCCTCAGTGGCTGAGCGCCCCACCTTCTGGCTTGGCTGCCCGCTGCCTTCCACGCCCAAGCCAAGCCAGCAGCTCTCAGCGAAAGGTGACTACAGGCAGCTGCTCCTTTCTCAGACACTAGTGTGTTCACCTAATGGTTACTGAGCCCTTACATCTGAGCCTGACACTGGGATCCAAAACTGGGATGGCAAGCTCTTCCCAGTCCACAGCTCATGAAGAGAGCAAACACATCAACCAGTCACTGCCCTTGGGTTTGACAAAGGATTGAGTTAGCAGTGCAGGAGGGGCAGCTCAACCTTGAAGGAGGAGGGCATCCGGAGGCCTGTTACACAGCTGATACTTGACCAGTCCTGCCCAGGGTCCTGGGTTCTCAGTAAGCAACTACACGTACAGATGAACAGAAATGTCAACAGCCGGACAGGTGTGTGTGTCTGGGGAGGGGATTTGGGGGTGGAAACACGGGCACCTGAATACGTGGTGCCTGTCTGGCCCCCATATGTGACCTTCAAAACAAACATGATCAAATGCATTTGGGAGACCCTGAGCTACAGCCAAGTGGGTTTCTGTACTGCAGGACTTCCCGCAGCTTAATGACCACTGAGTTTGGGCTCTCTCTAGGTGGAAACTGAACAGTAAGTGCCTACAGAACTTTTTTTTTACAGGTTTTCCACAAAAGCTTCAGTTTGGGAAATTCTGCTGTGTGCAATGGAAGGTTATGGAAGGGTTTGGAGCCACTAATATATCAGTTTTTTATTTAGAAATTGAATCTGGGAAGTGAAGGGGGAGGTACCATGAGAAACAAAGTCCTGTTGGAAGCCTGTAACAGCTGTCCAGGGTGAGGGGGTACTTCACGAACGCCCCCTGACTGTGAGGGTGCAGGAAGGCTTGGGATTCTAGAAGTGGCACGAGGTAGAATCAATGGTGATGTCTCAGCGTCCCGGCAGGTGAGGTTCTGACATCCAGGAGTGGCTGGGCTGGGTTGCAGAAGGATCAGGCTTGGCCTCCGACACACTGAAATCTGAGGGAGGAGCTCAGCCCCCAGGTTGGGAGCCCAAGAGGGGGGACAGAGGGAACAGGGCTGCAGGCAGATCCCAGTTTGAAGTAGGGAGGGAAAGAGAAGTTGGGGGGAAGGAGGAGGAGAGGGGAGCAGCTGCCATGAGTGGAGCCCAGGAGTAGTTTCTGGAAGAGCAGTTAGTAGTCCCGCTCCGTGCCCTGACTCCAGCACAGAGAGGTCTTCACATACCACATTGGCAGAGACTTACTTAACAATAATGATAGTGTTGGCAAGGCTGAAAGGAAGGGGCACCCCGTATTATTGGGCAACAGTGTATATGTGGCAAAAACCTTCACAGCTGTGACTGTGTATACTCTTTGATCCAAATACTCCATCTCTAGAAATTTATCCCACCATAACTTCATGACAGTTGGGCACAGACTATTTAACAAGATTGCTTATAATATCATTGCACATAATACTAAAACATAAACAAACATGTTATTCGATAACATGGGCTGGGTTAGGTACATTATGATTGTCATATGATGAAAAAAATGCCATGAAGCCAGTAAAAAAATATAATTGAAATAATTAATGGTGTGGTGAAATATTTAAATATATTGTGAAGTCAATTAAACAAGTCTGATCCTGTTTCTTTTATTAAAAATATAAGTGAAAAAAAAATAAGTGTGTGTAAAAAGATATACCAAATATCACCAGTGGTTATTTCTGGAACCTGGGTTGGGTAGTTTGTGTTCTGTTTTTATATTTCTAGGTTTTCAAAAGTTTCTACAAAAAACTTTTTTCTGTCAGCTTATAATGGAAAAGTAGGGCATTGATTAGTGTAAAGTTTTAAAATAATAACAATAAAACAGCGGTTACAGGTATCAAGTGCTTACCACCCCCAGTCACTGCACTAACTCCTCTTGATACGCTCCCACTTCACCCCCATCTCCAGTGTACACTTCTGAACCCCATGTATAGATGACAGTGGCCTGGAGTAATGAGCCCAAGGTCACAGAGGTGCCAGTGGCTGGAAATCCCTGGCTTGAGATTGCTCTCTCCAGGAAACCCCCATCTCTGCTCCCCCAGTTCTGCAGTGCCAGGTTTCACTCGCATTTCGCCTGCCCCAACTTCCTCTGCCCTCCCAGGCACTCTCAGGCCCTTTGTTCAAGCAGGGCTGTCACTCTGCCTTTGGAGAGGACTAGAGTGGGGGCCCGCTCAGGACCAGGTGGGCTGCCTCTCGGGCTGGGGGCACAGCACAGGGCAGCCCACGTGGTTTACGGCTCACTGAAAGACCAGCTTTCTCCACCTGGCCTAACCTGAGAGACATGATTCTATCATTGTAAGAACTGTCCAGCACGGCTGCTTGCAGTGCAGCTGGAGCCCAGCATGCTCCATGCCAACCTGAGGCTTACAGGCCAGATGTGGGGCCCCTAGTCACGTGCAGGGACTCAATAGGGATTGCAGGTGTCCATGGACACAGCTTCCTCTGCCTCCACCCATCTCCACCAGAGGATCACTGTCATCGCTCCCCATCACTGTCCTGCTCCAACCACAGGTCCTGACTCCAGGCTCCCTCCCTCCAGTGGTATTTCCCTCTGCAGCCAGGCTCTGCTCTTACCTTGAGCACCTTCAACAGCTAAGTTTGCAGAATGCTTATCTGGGCTGATAAGCAGTGTGGAAATTTACCTGTTGAGTAAGACTAGCCTCAGGGTTAAGGCACCAACAAATGATTATTTAAGAATTTATTTTAAAAAATTAAGTGATTATGGCAATGTGAACTTCATTACACATGATACATTCATTTTGAGGATTAATCTTGAATCCACACTGAGACACCATAATCTGCTGTTCAGAGCTCTCATTTAAGTCATGATGGCAACACAGCCTCCTGAGTCCCTGCGGTCCACTCCCTGGGAGCTCCTCCAGCCTCAGTGTGGATCTGCAGGCTGCACTGACCAGCTCATCTGCAACAGCCCACCCACCTGCTTCAGGCTACTTCACTGTCAAGTGACCTGGGAGAAGTCACTTAACTCCAGTTGTGTGGCTCAGTCTCCTTACCTGTTAAAGGGGAGAGTGGCGTGCTAAATAGGATTGACCCTAAGAACATATTAGCAATTTGATACAGAACACAGAGAACATGCCTGGGACACGATAAATACAAAGTGTTACCTGTCCTTATTAATGTCCTTAATTCTCAGGCCCTTGACACAAGCTATTTTCTCTGCCAGGAACACCCCCACTGACCTTTCCTGTCTTCCCAGGACAATTCCTCCCAGCCTTCCAGCTCAGTCTGGTTGTTGCTTCCTCTTAATTATAAATGAATAAAGGCCATCAGAGATGGTGTAGGGAGGGTAGAGTGAGAAGGCGCCAGAGTCAATCAGGAGTTTCCAGGAAGAGCTCCTTTCTTGCAAACCTCTGAGGGATGTGACAAGACGCTGGTGGTTCCCTGGGTGAGGACGGGTCCCAGGGCTCCTTGGTGCTGCTGGAGGCCTGTGCGTTTCTCTCAAGCAACTGGATCAGAACCGTACCCACACCGAAGCAGCTGGACCGCTGCCCCTGAGCACGTCGGAGGTCGGATTTGTTTTTGTGAACGCGCCGGCAGCGACAGCTCTGCACACTTGGGGGACAGCAGCGAGGGGAACTGTGCCCGGGAGAGGAACGTGTCTCTGTCTCCTGCACAGTGGGCACCCCCGGTTTTCAGAATACACGCCGTACCAAGGCGCGGAGTTTTGTCGCTACGGTGGCGATGGTGGGACCGAGACTCCAGGTCCGTGCCCAGCTAGGACGCTCAAGGATTCATCTCCCGGAGTTCAGGTTCTTGCTTTCTTCATAATATGCTAATACCTGGGGTCCTCAGTCGCTCCAACGGCCGGCGCGGCTAGTACCTGGGAGGGGAGCTCAAGACAACCTGAGGACCCCGAAGGCTGGGCTGAGGACCTCTCCCCTGACCCTTCCACTTGGGGGTCGAATCGCAGGACTAGGGACGCCTCAGGCGCCAACCCCAACCAAAGCCCCCGCGTCCCGCGGCCTAGGCCCCGCCCCTGCACCCCATTGGTTAGGCCCGAAGGGGGCGGAACCCGACGGCTGGCTCCGGACCGAAGGGCGGCTGGCGCAGCTGGCCGCACAGACGGCCAGTCCCGCGGGGCACGCGCTGGCCAGTGCGCTCGTCCGCGAGGGCAGACGGACGGC